TTGTCTATGTAAAATGAAATAGTGAGACAAATGTATAATTTTGTTTCCGTAGTAACCTAGGGAACAGGGTAAATGGCCAAGGGCCCTGGTTTCAAGATAACCAGTAGTAACAACACAAGCATTAAAAAATATAAGCACTCAGAGAGCGCATAATTATAATTCAAGCGCCAAAAATATCCCTGTTGCCAATACAATAGGGATAACTCATGCAATACTTTTAATAACATAGGTCAGGATCATAATCCGCATCACCACACTTTAATGGCATTTAATTAAAGCTGACATACCACAGGTAAAACTTTAGTTCAAAATCTGTTCATAACTTTTTGTTCTCCGGCGAACCAACAAACAAATCAACACTACCAAAATATAACCTTGGCGGACAACATCGTTTAACTTAATAGTCACTTCCAGATACAAATCATAATAGAAATTTTGTTTCCATTAGGGGGAGAGAGAGAGAGAGAGAGAGAGAGAGAGAGAAGAGAGAGAGAGAGAGAGAGAGAGAGAGAGAGAGAGAGAGAGAAGAGAGAGAGAGAGAGAGAGAGAGAGAAGAGAGAGAGAGAGAGAGAGAGAGAGAGAGAGAGAGAGAGAGAGAGGAGAGAGAGAGAGAGAGAGAGGAGAGGAGAGGAGAGGAGAGAGGAGAGAGAGAGAGGAGAGAAGAGAGGAGAGGAGAAGAGAGAAGAGAGGGGTGGGGTAGGGAGGGAGGGAAAGGGAGAGTGAAAGGAGGGAGAAACACATACACCAACTTTTATATACGAGTACATAGTACATGTATACATATAATACACACACATACGTACAATGTGCGCAGAAGTATACATTTCTTGTATAGGAAGTTACCTTACAATTGGTGAGAATAACGGCAAAAATTGTCGCCATAATAATAATTCCGACTACTTTCAATAAAATAAATATTTCCGACATTTCACGTTAGATTGTACAAACAAAAATTAACGAAACAACGAAATGGATTTTGTTGGCGATGATTCCCCACCCATCTCGCTCGCAAAAGCCAGGTGATGGCCGTCATGTTTAGCCCTCCTTGCCCACCCAGCCTTCCCTCACCCTCACTTCCGACCACGCACGTGCCACTTTAAAGTCTATTTTCAAGGTTCATATTATTGACAACTCGACCTTATGACCCAGGGATCACCCTTTTCTTCCTACCCTTCCGTCTCCTGTGACCGTACGACATCAGGCCATTCAGGATCTACGAACCAGCTACCAAGACTGTAAGGAGTTTCTTCCTTCTCGTAGTGAGCTGAATGTTTTTAGTTTAGTTAATTCATTGCCACATTCCGAGTGAAAACAGTAGTGAGCTGAATGTTTTTATAGTTAATTCATTGCCACATTCCGAGTGAAAACAGTAGTGAGCTGAATGTTTTTAGTTTAGTTAATTCATTGCCACATTCCGAGTGAAAACAGATGCGCACAAACTGTAACATTTAATAAAAATAATTAATCACACGTTCTAACTTTGAATATTTATGTTATGTATGCATACATCTGGATTTATCATAGCCAGACCAACTCTATACTTGAAAGTAATGTACTAAAATAAATTTTAAGGTAAAATGGCATTAACCCTGCATGTGGGTACCCACGCCATTCCACCCACTCGGTTGGACAAAGCGCGTGCCTGTTTTTAGGGTTGACAAGTTCACACAGATCCAAGGGAAGTTCGACCTTAAGAACTCACCCACAGTAGCTCGCACCCCCTCTCCTTTCTTAACCCCTCTCCTTACGACCCCCAGCTCCAGCCAGCAGATGTTCACACACGCGGGTACTCCCTGCCATATTCATATTTTTCAATGCTATTTTTAATACATGAAGTGAAAGAGAAAAACAGGTAAAATGCTCCTAAGCACGATAAACCTATAAAGGCAAAGTGAATAGTACCCCTCAAAATTCAAATAATCTAAAAATGAAACTGATATGAACTAGTTGTCTCTTTGTTAGACCCTCCAACGCGAGGTAAATGTCACAATGGCGTTTGAAAGAAAGGAATGGCTGGTTGTTTTCCGTCTAGATTATCCTCCTTCCATCTGTTGTTGGGATTTTTGGTTCAATCTTCCCAGGGAGGAAAGGCTTTACCCTCGCCTATAAAAAAGTAGAGCGTCGGATTTCTCATTTGAAAAAATTGACGAGGTAGTCGACTGAAATTTCGAAATACCACTATCACGCGAGTTTTAGGATTGAGTGGCCTTGTTCTTCGATTGCATTCTAAATAAGAATAGTAGTTCTATGTGTGAATTTGTCATTAAACATCATTTCATTTATTTCTGACAAGTAGGATGGTAAAATCATGTCGGTCTGTATTATATCACCTTGGAGTAATGTGAGCAACTATAATTACATTGTATTATTTACTAAAAAAAACAACGTTTTGCTGCAAACGATGTTCGAGAATCCCAGATACGAATCACTAATATTTAAAAATTATTCAACGCCGTGAAATGCGTTAATGTACGAAACCTATAAGGAAAATAAAACAACCAAAGCAAAGCCAGTTTTGTTAGTAAGAATTTTCGGTCTAGCTTCGCTCGGGTTTTACTCAGGGTAAAGCAAAGCCATGAAAATAAATCATGCTACTACGTAAACTTTGAGACGCTGCTTCCCCTCCTCGGCCATCACCGCCATCCACCTTCCTTCCCCAGCCCGTGACCTGAAGCCCCTCCGGCATAATGTACCTCTTACTATCCCTACTAACCGATAACCCCGTGGTTAGTAGGAATACAATGCGTTCATAACAATTAACCATAAGTAATTGGAGGGAGATGAATGTTTTATAAATGAATTTTCTGTAGAATTTGCAGCTGCAACTTATTCGTGAAATGGGAATGACAACCGTTGCAATGCTGAATTTCCTTATTTTAACAAGAAAACGACATCGTAAGCAAACTGTAGCCTACTCTTTATCTGAAATTGGTGATTAAATGATTCCTTAAAAGAAGTGTAGTAGTATCGATTTCTCGACTACAAAGCTGGACGCTTTACATCATCGGGCTCTCAAATTAAAGCTTGGAGCGGTAGTTCTTTGCTACGTGGAAACTGCGTAGATCTGCGGAAATGTCTGATATTTCAACGTTGATTTTTGGCCGGTTTTATGTATCACTAAAAATTACGTGGTTAGGTGGGGACGATTATAGTTCGACATACGCTTCCGTTTCCCTTTATAAAGAGGTTGTGCAAAAAGTTTTAAGCAACATTTATATTCCTAAAGGTCCGAAAATACTAAATTCCCAAGAGCGAAAACACTGACGGCAACGTCACACCGACCGAGACAGTGACCTGACGCGGATCGCGGCCAAATCTCTTGGAATACCATGGCGCCCCTCCGGAAATATGTGGCTATAGAATGGCAGGTCTTTGAGAGCGGCGCTCCATCAAATCACTTTAATATATTTTGATGACAATGTAGCATATTAACTGGCTGAAATTATTGTTTGTAAACGCAAAAATTGTAAAAAAAAAAAAAAAATGACGCATATACACAGATTATAATAAGATCAGAAATCGTTTTGGAAGCAAAGCAAGGAATGAAATACTGTCATCCGCGCGAGCAGATAAGGAACAAGATAAAACTAATGAACGCAAAGTACGTAGAAGGTGGCACTGGCAGAATCTATCAAAACAAAATATGCACTGAAACAACAGCATAACAGTTCAATGCATTTCTTAAAACAAAACTGGTTACAGAAAATTATTTTCTTCAGAAATGGTTTCCAGTCCCTGCAGAGAATCACTGCTTGCAACGAGGGGAGTGCTGGAAAACGCCCGTGCTTGCGGGCAAAGGCCCGGACACTTCTTGCAAGCACTTCGACAACACGCAGGACTGAGCTTCATCTCCCTGCAGAGGGCGCGTTGAACTCCTTGGATACGTAGAATACACTAACTGATAAGGTGCGTTTTCTGGCGCTTTGTTTCGGTGTGTGTGTGTGTGGGGGGGGGGTCATAATACATTTTGTCCATAAATTATAAACCATGTCCCGCGAACGTGCCAGCTCCAGGCCACTAGCGAGGGATCTAGTTTCCTCCTAGGTTTCGGATATGGAATTGTGTGTCGTGAGCAAGCTAGTTGTGAGTCACGTAGGCTACATTACGGTGGTGTATATGTATGTGTATATATATATATATATATATATATATAATATATAGATAGATAGATAGATCTAGATATGTGTGTGTGTGTGGTGTGTGTGTGTGTGTGTGTGTGTGTGTGTGTGTGTGTGTGTGTGTGTGTGTGTGTGTGTGTGTGTGTGTGTGTGTGGGTGTGGGTGTGTGTCGTGTGTGCGTGTGGTGTGTGTGTGTGTGTGTGCATATATATATATATATATATATATATATATATATACTATATATATACATATATACATACATATTATATATTATATATATAATATAATATTATATATATAATATATATATAGCG